TACAATTCAAACTGATGTAAGGAAATGAAATGGAAATGTCCTTGAAAATGACTCTGACATAAATGCATTTATCTCAGTTTTTTGTCTGAAATTTTTTATGGAAATGCACAAATTCAAGTGTTGATAGAAAATAAATGTAATAAGATAGAGTAAAATGTTTTTGTGTTTAAAAATAGAAGTTGTCTTTTTTAGTTTCATGTATATACTGTTTATATACTCACAGAGCAAATTATTCTGTGGGTCATGAAAGGGTGTAGATTGAAAATGGCCCCCCTAATATTAAACAGGAGACTACGGCCCTGCTGTAAGTACATTTCGCTCATTGCATACTTTTACATAATTAAGTAAAGGATCTGAATATTTCTTCCACCACTGAAAATAACCAACAACAATAAACATTAAAGACCTCCTGTTTACTGTCATTAGATGTGGCTCCAAACAAAGGAATACTTCGCACATCTATTTCCAGACAGGAACGAGAAGAATAAAACTTGTAGAAAAGAGAGTGGCATTAGTTTGACATTAGTCATATGACCCACGTGCAGTAAAAAAGGCTAAATACCAAACATCAAATAGTGTAACAATCAACATTAAACACAGAAATAGAGGGAAAAGGAAGTACAATTTAAAACTGCACAGTGACAATCTTAAACACACCCCAAATAGTTTACATTTGATGGGTACGTTCTTGAGAATAAATGCTGAAGTCTTTATTAACTTGCATTCTTTAAAAACACATATCCAAACATTGAAAATACGGGTATGTTTATATCTAGAATTAGCATCAATACATAAATAGGAAACTTGATAATAAATGCAACAAGGCCTCCAAAATGTAAAATTTAGATGTGGCTCCAAAGATCTGTTATGTAATTTATTTTTGCATCAGTTTTTTAAATTGTAAAAAAAAAACAACCTTTATGTCCTAAAGAAAAAGAGTGAGCACATACATGTCATCCCGGGTATTACTGTCTTTATTGAGGGATTAATGGGTGGACATCACACACATTACTGATCCTGAAGTTGATCCTCATTTAATTAACCCCTCTCTGCTCAGATTCATCATAAGCCTCAGCTGTATAGAATTACACTCTAATTATTAGGCCCCCCAAACCCCGAGGTGGCCCCTGGTCAACTGGCCCACAGCTCATGGAATCTCCTAATAGCGAGTCACAGGGCTAATTGGCAGACAGGTAAGGTTACATGTGACAGCAATTAAGCCGCGCGCAGGGCCAACCTCATGGCCTTGGGCGCGCCCGGCGCTGCGCCCTGGAGCCCGGAGTGAGGCTGGGTGGTTTTAGCGCCTTCTTTCCTTTTGGGGGAAGCAAAGTGGGGTATTGCAGTTCCTCTTCTGTCGCCTATAGATATATAGGATTATGTAAGTGGGATGTGAGTTCCTGTTGTTTGTATTGAGTGCACGAGTTGCGCCATGGTTATATAAATAAAGCGGAAATGTGACATATTTATCAACTGCTTACTTTACTTTTCCATCCAGTTTGTTGTCATTGTCATTGTTCTTTTTTTTGAGTGATCACCATCATAATTAAACGCGCTTTTATAGCAAAAATACATCAACCTGCTGCCTCATGGAGTTTGTTTATGGGCGCGCACACGTGTCACATTGAAAAACATATTCATTATTTATTATGGAGTTTCATCTTTGGGAATAGGAGCGGAAAAGTCCGGATTGTTTTGTTGCACGGATAATATATTCATGTCAATGACAGAGAGGAAGTGTGAGAGCGTGTCTAAACACATTATCACTTTTCAGAGCTGGGTCCCATGCAGCACGGAGGCGGCGGGACACTCGACCCCCCGGCTGCGGTGTTGTTGGAATTACCTTCACATGACAAATCAAGACCCGATCTGGGAAAATAATCAGGTCCCCGCTGCTCCCGGCGCGGAGAGAAACCCATTAGAGAACAACACTGTCACTGTTAATTACCGCAATGGGCCTTTTGTGCGCTGGCAGAGACAATATAACACAACAAGCCGACAAAATCAACACTTTCTCCACTGGTAAACGATTTAGGGAGGTTTTTATGGCTCGGTGAGAAGTTTGGCACCTTTTGTTGTTGTTGTGCAGCTGAGACGGTGTTTCTGGAATATCTTAAACATTCATTGTTGTTAGTTTTGGCACAGTTTAAGCTCCAATATTTAAATGTCCAGTCACATATTTTTAGGGTGAAGTCAGGTTGCCTGATGTGGGACACATTGTGGTAAAACACACCTAAAAAATCTGAAAACTACCTTAAATGTTACTGCAAGAACTTATTATGGTTCTCTGCCGTGTTTCTATAAAGAAAATATGCTGCCATGTAAAATATTTTAGAAGCTTGGACCTTTAAACACATCAACATATCCTAACTCACTCCAATGACATGTTCAGGTAAAATGGGACAGTCGTGCAGGGGCGTAAATATAGACAGTGTGGACGAGGGGCCCGAGTGCACCTGGAAATACGCCTGTGTTCAAAGAACTCACGTTAAATGGAAAATGGTGTGATTTTCTATATATGCTCTCAAAAAGGCAAACATATCTCCATCATGGCTTTCTGTTTTTGTAAAATAGTGTCAATCTGTAACTAAATGTTATGCTTATTTTACACAAACTATAAAAATATAAGTTTACGATAAATAAATAGTTAGTTAAACTAATAATTTCTTATTTCCTTTTTGTAGTTTTGTCGTATACAGATTTGTAATGATGATTGCTGGGTAATATGTATATTGATGTTGTCTAATATCAAGTCTCTGTTTAATCGTGTAATTAGATGATGTCATTTACAGCTGCTAGTTTTGGTGCAAAGTCTCTCAAGACTGAAATCATCTGAAAGCGGATATAACATAAAAGCGGCTGGACGACACATGGTAAAATATATGTACGCCTAAAATTCTGTGTGTGCTTTGTAAGTAGCAACTAAGGTGCACAAGGGCCTGTCGTAGTAGTGTGTGCCACTGCAGTCTTGTTTGTTTATTTCTTAAATGGTTGAATCAGTTATTAATTTGTTAAATCACTATTGCAACCTGTGGCTATTCATTAAAAAAGATTGTCCAACTTTTTTGCCGCCTGTTTCCTGGTGCCACATCGTTTACAATAGACATGTGCCATGTGTAACTGTGATTCTGGACCATTGTGGCCGACATGGACTCACTGCAGCATCTTTAATATTTTCACTAAAATTGTCTGTGACATGACAGGGTGGCACACAAATACACAGTCCTAAAAACATGCTGGTTTCACGTCAGAAAAATGTCCCATTTTACCTGAATGCATCAAGTACTCACTCAAAAACCCTTTTCCCATAAAAAGTAATGTGTACTGTAGAAATATTTTGATTATAAGCCAAAGATTTATTTAAAATGCAACATCCTACAATCATATTTTACATTATACCCGTATTATTTCAGCTGCAGTATTCTTATTACCAAAAAGATAAAATCACATGGCGTGTATTGCAAGACAAGCGTATTTACAGAGCACCAAGTGCTTTACAGGGGCGTAGAAAAATATTAAATATAATACATTGAAAAAATATATTAAAATTGCATTCAAGAGACAATGAATAGATAATTTGAAGACAAAAAACTGAAGGAAAAAAACATTAAAGGACAATTTAACAGGCAAAAGCAGCAAATAAATAGCTGTAGATTAAAGAAAAGTTATTGGAAAACTTAAGTGAACGATTATGTTTTAAGCCCTGATTTTAAATAACCAAACAGTTTAAGCAGACTGCAGGTATTCAGGGAGCAGCAGGAACTAAAAGCTGCTTCGCCTTGATGGTTCTGATCATGGGAACGCTGAGTAAATCACCCCAGATGACCTGAGGAGTCATGTTGTGTCCTACTATCTCAGACCAGTCAAAATTATTGTTTCATGTAAAGGACATTTGCAGTAACATGTTCGGTGACTGGCAGATGAAGATGTAAAACCTTATTTGCCCCACATTACCTTACTTCATCCAACCAGTTAGAAAACATGAGTGGGATTACATGTACTGGACAGCTGACCCAAGATTGATGAGCAGGCTACGCTGCACGGTAAATAAAACGCTTGGTAAACTGTGACCTTGAGTCGCTGATCAGAGGGCAAAACAATAAACAACATGACATTATATTTTCAGAAAAAACATTTATTTTTTTTATCAAATCAGCCTACAGACATTTCTTTAAGACATGTTTTAAAACATAGCAAATTAAATTAATCTGCTTTGACTAATTATTTCTAATTTTTCCCCCAAAAAAAGTTAAATTACCTCATGAAATACTTTTAAAAACGTCAACCCTTCTCTCATTGAAAAGCTGTGAATCCTCATGATCATTTCAACTTAATGTGCACTGGTTTCCACCAAAATTAGCCTCCAAGCTGAAATCCTGCACAGTTTTACATGTTAAAGTGATTTTTTTAAAAAAGGTGAGAACAGAAAACTCCCCCCCAATCTTTCAGCCTTTCTCATTCTGCAGAGTGAAGGTCAAACATCCAAATTAAATAACAAGCAAAACATATTTTGTGTGTGATGGGTAACTTTAAATCCTCTCCCTCCTCATCATAAAGATCTATTATACTTTAAATAATGTAAAGTTAATTTAGAATATAAAAACAGAATATAGATGTAGCTGTACTGGTTTCTGGAGCTTATTTAATTTTTTAAAGAATATATTTTTAATAAAACACAGCAGGTTTGTTATATTCTTGGCGCACAGGATGCACGTTACTCTGAATGGGACCCTGCCTTCGTCCACTTTAAAGTACTTGTATCACAACAACCGCTCCTGTCAGTCAAACTCAGCCTAATCGGCCGCCGTCCAATCAGAGCGCTCCTTACTTTTTTAACAGACTTTCCCGACCAATCACAACCGGTCCTTTATGTCTCACCTCTCCCGCTGAGGGGAGGGGACATGACCTAATTTGGCAGTTATGACCTTATATGGAGCGCCGCCGGGGGGGCAGCGCTACGAGGCAGCCTGCTGGTGACACTTTCCCCCAAATTGTAGCTTTGACTCTCGGAGACAGGACAGACAGTCGACACGCTCGAGCGGCAAAGACTGTTGTGCGCGTGAAGTGTCTCTGCTGAAGCTGGACGGTCACGCGGAGGATATTGCGGCTGTGTGTGCGTGTGTTTTTGGGGTAAATACAGATCAGACGTCGCGCTCCAAAAGCCTCTCTGCGGCGCGCAACAACAAGAGGAACACGGCTAGTGTCGGGACTGCGCTTGTTAGGTTTCCACGGCGAGCTCGCGGAGACTAAATAAACGCGTCACTGACACTGGACGGCGTGAAATGCGGTCAGTGTTGACTCCAGCGTGTCTTTCAGGAGGCAGAATTGATCTTGCGTGAAGCCAAACAGCAGCGTTGGTGCTGTGGATAAACTGGCGCGACCGGCTGAGACGCGAAACATTGTTGTCTCTTCACACTCCGCCGTTTTTCAAATTCCAGAAGCGAAGACGAAGTCAGGCAACATTTGACTGTGACGGCCGACACACGCTGACTTATCGGACAGACTTTTCCAAAAGGCTCCACTGTGAAGAACAACGTGTTTATGGATTGCTGCGCAGCGAGGAACACCGGGAGTTGTAGGCTGCGCTCTGGTGCATCGATCATGTTGATACCTCGCTGTTGCTGTGAACTTTGATAGATGTTTACAGAGGACTCAGTATATATTTCATTTCAATAAATACGCTCAGATAAACTCTGACTGACCTCTGGAGGAAGTGGGAAGCGCCTTTACGCCCTCCCTCGTGTGTGTTTTTTCTTCCAAGACGTCAGGACGGATCTCTATCACTCTCCTTCTGTGATTTAAACAAAGACCAAAGTGTTTGGGGATAGCATGGCAATGGTAGTAAACCAGTGGCCAGAAAGCATTTCTGCAGATCCCGGGTCGCAGCTCCAGATATGCGGCCAGGAGCCCGGCGGGGCACCGGGAACCCCCAACGGTTCCACCCCGGGGAACGACGCACTTTCCGGGGACAAGATCCCCAACGTGGACTGCATGGTGTGCGGGGACAAGTCCAGTGGGAAGCATTACGGTCAGTTCACCTGCGAGGGATGCAAAAGCTTCTTCAAGCGCTCGGTGAGGCGGAACCTGTCCTACACCTGCAGGGGGAACCGAGACTGCCCCATCGACCAGCACCACCGGAACCAGTGTCAGTACTGCCGGCTGAAGAAGTGCCTCAAAGTCGGCATGAGGAGAGAGGGTAAGGGGATAGGTGTGTGATGGTTGTGGAATTTGTTTACCAATTCTGTGTGTAAAGTTGTGCGTAATGTTGTGAAATATCAGTCCCAATAGGCCGTTAAGTGTTGAGCTCAGCCGTAAAAGATTTTACTGTTTTTAAAAACAAGTGTGTGACTCCAAACACCGTCTGGAGCTCGTGTTTCCGGTGCGGTTTCACCAAACTATCTTTGGCACAAAGCATAAAGGCGCGCATTATCTTATCTGTTGCAAGAAAACATTTTTAAAACTTAAACTTTTAGATTAGTGACAGTCATTTCACCACGTTTCTCTTGCTGTGAGAAATTTATTTAACACCACACTCTAATTTGTCCTCACATGTCAAACTAAAAAGTACCAGTGAGAGATTTTGTGCGTAAATTACGCGTCATGTTTCGTGATGCCTGTTGATTGCGCTACACTTGCTGTGGGTAAATAATCGGCCACCACCTGCTTATTTCACATTCATTCACCAAATCTAACTCATCCACCCTGGTGCGCTCTGAGACGCCCCGCTCTGTGTGAAATCCCTCCTTTGTCCCTCTGTTTTAATTATGCTGTTTGCTCACCGACACCCGGAGCCGCTATAAGAGGATGCCGCTACATTTGTTGTATTGTGTTGGATTAACAACGGGTCAGTTGGTGCCAAAGAGGAGCAGCGGAGACGTGTTGGTGCGGAGCAGCGCTCCCCTTATTATTTATCATTCAGCATCCCATTCACAGGAGATGGGCTGGTGCATATTTTTGGGCCTTAAATTTCTGTCTCTGAACGTCTGTGTTTTTTGGGGTTTGTTTACGCGCGTTGGATGACTGAAGTGCCGATTAAGAGGCGTCAGTGAAAGCCTGTAGAAATGTTAGCTTTGCTGTGTAATGTCTCTGGGGAGTGAATGAAGGTGCTCATCACCTGAACACAGGTGAGCCATGAAACAAGGCTGCAACTGTCCTGTAGGCTCAAAAAAAGTGCGTTTCACCCGCTTATCCTCAAAAGTCTTGAGTCTCAGATGAGGATGTCACACTTGGCCCCGGCTATTCTCCCTCTCACAGGACAGAATAGGGTCAGCAGCTGCATCCCAGTGAGCCATCTTGCTCAAGGACACTACGGCAGGGGACGTCTAAGGACAGATAGTCTTTCCACAACGACCCCGCCGCCCTTTGTTCTCAGCCTGAGCCTAAATGTAAATACACAGACGGTGGAAATACCCGTCCTCCTTAGAGCCTCAGATGAGATGATCCCTCAAGGGTTCCCGCAAGTGCACTGACTCACTCTCTCTGTGACTGTGTGTGTGTGTATGCACTGTACACATAGTCTTACCTCATGTAAAATACTTGCAAGCCACACCGGCTCGATCCCGACTGAATGAACCCGAGCAGATCGCCTGATGCGCCTGATGATTCAGCCTAATCAGACTTTAAATATAAGTTAAACCATTCAAACAGCCCGGAAGTATCACTAGATAATCATTGTTTTTTGTACTTTCTGTGCTGATCAATTTATTTAATTATCTTGTGGATAATTTAACATTCAATATGATTTTGCGCGCAAAGTAAAATGATTATTTCACCTCCCTTTGGCAAATTCTTTGACTATCTTTAGGGAAAACTGCCCAGCATTCAGTGTAGTTAGTTAATGTTTTGTTAAACATGACATTTTTACAGTCTGACAGCCCTAAGGGCAGCCTGATGTTCATGAGATCTCTCATGCGCCTTAAAAATCGCATGCAAAGAAACTCGTCTCTCTGTTAATATGAGAGAACATGATGCTGTGCTCACAGGCTGCAGACCAGCCCACACTGCAAAAAGTATTCACCTTAACAAATCACAGAGTGACTGAAAATAAGTGAAAAATGTTTCCAGATGTCACAAATTATTTATTTTAGTTTAGTTTCATTCCAAAAATGAGAAAACACTGTGTTGAGATGAGGCCTGGTGACGTCACGTGATTGCAGGGGATTCTTCAATTGAAATTTTGTAGAAATAGTGAGGTTTTAAAACTCATTATCTGCTCATTATCTTTTCTTTTTTTTTTGCAGCGCTGGCTTATAGTTGTGCGCAAAAGGCTTAAATGTGGAGCAGGTCAACTTACATTGGCTGAGCTCATCTGTTGGTGCATTTGAGGTCAGCAGGATTAAACTGTGTCCTTAAATCCTCTTTGTCGGCCGACTTCTGTTTATCAGCATTCATTTGTCTACTTAGGGCAACTTTTTGTTCGGACATGTGCAATTTGGAAACGGAGAGAATTTAAAAAATGGTCACAAATACTCATCTGGTGTTTTATGAGAGGCTGAGAAAAGTAGTGATCGTGATTGATTACAAATAACAGGCATTTTCACTTCACTTGTGTCAATCACAGATGTCCAGTTGTCTTCAGTTGTTTAATCATGACGCCCATCTGTTTTATGAGACAGATATCAGACATATTTAAGTATCTGTGAAACTAAATCTACGCATCATTATTTGTTGTGACATCCACAGTAAATTAAACACCGTTGCATCCCAGAATCCAAAAATTGAGGCTGTCAACTGAAAAGTTCAGGACGGTTAAAACACACAGACACTGTTGTCGTCCTCCCAGAGGTCATACATAAGTTATGTTCCATCTGCATTATTCAGTAGGTTCACATAAGGTTGACAAGGGGACGGATGCAGTGTTTATTCTCAGATATGACCCAGGTGAAACATGCATTTGATGTTTCTGTTTTCAGAGATTAAGATGTTAAAATAAAGCAGAATATCAAAGGTGTGGAGCTGAGTAAGTTTGGCATGCTATTAATCATTTAAAAACCTTTTTACTCTCAGCATATAGGTCGTAATGTACGTAATAATTTGTATATGTTGACTGGTTTTATTCACAAATTAGGCATTGTAAAAGTGATGCTTCTGCAGCATTTCCTCACATAGAAAACAAGCACGAGAAAGCTGACATCATTTTTTTAAAATGACATCAGTGTTTGATATCCCTGACACTGCTGCATGACCCTTCTGTTTAGACTGAATTCATATTTCGCTTCCTGAGAAGACACGTTAAAACTTTCATGAGTGGACCTGCGTCAGATTTAGAACTTTATTGCTTTCAAGTGAGTGCTGCTTCTTTTTTTTTTTTTTTTTTTTTCCCCCGTTTGACCTCTTTCTACAGACTGCTGTGTAGAACATAATATCATTTGTTTGGAGACTTTTATCCGGAGCACCTTTCAGCACCATGGCAGCAAACATTTCTGTGCTGCCCTCAGTGGGAATCAAACCCTCAAAAAAAAAAAAACCTTGGCAGCATTGTGTCACCACGCAGCTACACAGAACCTCCTCTTGTTTCTCTGTCAGCGCAGTTTCTGGGTTGAATAGGAAGCGGAGAGGCAGAGAGAATCAGCCTGACAGTTCCTTTGAACTGGAGTGAATGTTTTAATTTTGAAGCAGCCCACAAGGACGAGCTACTGACTTCACTGAGGACAGAAAGACACGTGTGGTAGTTTACTGCTCTGATTAATGCATGCATACACAGTGATAATGTCATGTTGTTGTGTGTGTGTGTGTGTGTGTTTTGAATCGTACAGGGCAGCTGTGAGCACGCCAAATACATGCAGACACACACAGTAGAGTGTAGTGCAGCGGTGGAATGTAACAAAACACATTTACTCAAGTACGTAACTACAAATTTGAGGTATTTGTACTTCACTTGAGTATTTCCATTGTATGCAACATTATACTTGTACTCCACTACATTTATCCGACAGCTTAAGTTACTTTTAAGATTACATTTTTTTCAGCCTAGCGTAGTAGAATTTGTACGTTTCATACGTATCATATCAACCTTTCTAAAGTGACGTTGCATATGAGCGAGACGCCAGCCAAGCTGTAGGCCACTGCAGACAACAGTTCGAGACCAATAGACAACAAAATAGTCGTGACTTTGCGAGTCAGTGCTGTTTCCAGCTGCTTTTTAGGCACTAAACGTGGGTGTTTTGTAGCAACCTGCTGTTTTTCCAGTGGCTTTATAGGACCAGAAATGGTTGTGCATTGTCAGTGTTTGTCCAGCCAGGATTGTGCCCCCCAAACGAGGTATTAAAAGCAAAAACATGATCTTTTTCTCGTCATAACTAGGTGGTTTTTGTGCCTAATCTGAGCCACAAAGTTCCAGCATTTCAGCTACATAATAATGTCCACATGTCACATATCTGTGGTTTGCAGAAACATTCAATGCCAACATTTTTCTGGTGATTAGGTTGAATTTTTCACACACTTCCTGTCCAGTAAAAACATGTATCTTCAATTCTGCATTTTTGAGTTCGACATTTTTTGATAAACTAAAGGATTAAATGTTCCTTTGTGTGCTGAGAAAATTCTCCGTCTTCTTAGGCTGAATAAACTCTTTAAAACCCCTCCTGTATCAGCTGGAAAATGTGTCGTCACAAAGCTGAAAACAAGCTGTTTTTCTGATTCGTGGTCCTCACAGGACAGCCACGCTACAAACGTATGATGATCTTATAGAATATGAAGCATCGCTGTAGATTAAACCCAAAAGTATATAAAGAAGTTTTTTAGGCACCAGACTTGGGTGTTTGTAGTGACTCATTGCTGTTTTTCCACTGCGGTTGATGTTTTTTTTTTTACCAAGACATTGCTGCATTTTCTGCCAGTTTTTCTGACACCATGAAAACTTTTTAACGATTCATAGTTCTCACAGGACAGCCACTCTACAAACATATGATGATCGTATAGAACATGATTCACTGCAGTAGATTAAACTACCCAACTGTATATAAAGGAGTTACAATGAGCACAACCTTAAACATCAGCAGGAAAATGCAACATATGCATTCATGTAGCAGGAATATTCATCCAAAAACATCAGCATGTAAATGTAAAACACTGACTGGAAACATTTTACTGCACTCTATACTCTAAGTACATTTCACTGATACATACTTTGAGTTAAAAAAGGTTTCTGAATGCAGGACTTTTACTTGTAGTTGAGTATTATCACAGTGTGGTATTTACATAAGTAAA